CGAGGCGCACGTCGGGGCAGGCATGGTCGGGGCACGGAGGCCGGGGCGGGAGGGGTCGGCTGCACCTGCAAGGGGAGAGAGAGCGGCGGGTTACACGCACATTTGGGTCTGCACAGCCCTCGAGCTGGCCATCACCTCGGAGGTTGGCAGGGCTGAGTCTACCCCATGGTTTCTCCTGAACCATTGGACAAAGGCCTCCTTAGCATCCTGCTATGAGTCTAATCTCACTTTATTTACTTACTTGTTGCTGACTGAGATGAGGTTTGGCTACATAGGCTTGGAACTTGCCACACAGACTAAGTTGGCCATGGACAGACAGACAGATTTTTTTTTTTAATAGTCTATTCGGTCTTTCTGTATCTAAAAGAGCTATCTTTCTGCCTAGATTGAGACAGAGTCTCTACATGTACCCAAGACTGGCCTGGGGTATATACCACTCATCCATTCATATGTTCAGACAGGGTTTCCTTAGCCCCGTAGGTAGCAGAGTCTGGCCTCGAACACTCCACCTAGCCACCATCACTTCCCCAGTAGTGGGTGGGGTAACAGGCACGTCATCTCACTCTGAGAAATGCGGATGGTCTGTAAGAGACCATGTGACGTCTTCTCTGACGTCATCGGCTGGCCTCCTTCACCACTCAGGCCCTTGACTCCACTCCACATAGCTTCTAATCCAGCAGGGTTCCCTCGGGACTCACCTCCCGGGACCATAGGCCCATCTGTCACGGCTGAGCGGCGTCCCCTAGCCCCCTCCTTCCTCCCCCATCTCCCCCCCCCACCCCAAGTTTTTCACTCCTGCCGGGTGGCGGGCCAGACCACAGTGCACGAAGAGGGAGTTCTGGCATTTGGGACACAGGCGTTGGAAACTAGAGGCGAGTTCGCCACTCTGGTCCAGAGGGACCGTCAACCCTCCCAGATCACCGAAGCACGGGGCGCAGGTCACCCCGATGTTGGGATCGGGGGGCGGCAGGAGGAAGAGAGAACACTCACCCGGACCAAACGCCGCGCGGACCTCCACGCCCAGAACGCGGAAGCTGGGAGCGGAAGTGGCTCTGAGACTACGACTCCCAGAAGGCCTCGGAACAGCCCGGCTATGGCTCCCAGAATGCAACAGTCCTGCCAAGGCGGGTGTCTTCGAGACTGCTTTGCCTACAACTCCCGACAACCCTTGCGGCTCTTTTTTTCATTCTGCCTACTTCTCCCAAAATACAGTGCCTGGCTTCTTTTCTGCGCCTGCGTACGGGCGTAGAGCCGGGCGAACTGTACTATCACTGTGTTACTGTACTGTTGCCGTGCGGTATGCATAAAACGAGGCGAATTGCTGACTTTGTGTGTGTTTTATAGACTATAAAAGGAATTACTGAGCATATGATTTCTGGTTTGTTGGGGTTGCGAATGAGAAATGTGTGTACGTGTGTGTGTGTGTGTGTGTGTGTGTGTGTGTGTGTGTGTGTTGGGATTGGCGCATGCGCACGGCGGATTCCACAGCTGGGGTCGGAGCGGCGCCGGGAGTAGTGCGTATGCGCAGTTGCATGAGAAAGGGGTCTGGTTACTGGTGGCGAGTTTCTCACCCCTCACAGACCCTCACCTGTCAGCGATTTGGGGGGCTCTAGGTAGTGGGACCACTGTGCAGACTTTGGGCGGGAACACGAGTGCACAACACGGCACGCGAAGCCAGAGGTGCAGCCCAAGGATGGAGGACCGGTGACAGAGGCCTGGATGGGATATGGGAGATCGTAGAAACCCGACTTCCAAGACCACCTTCCTCTGATCGCTCTCCCTTCCGAGTCTTCCCAGAATGTCCTGAGCTCGAGCCCAGCCTCGCCCCGTCAGGTGGTCAGGACGCAGGCGTGTTGGAGGCTGCGCCCGCCTACCCGAGCCTCTTGCGCTGTGCGGAGTCGTGGAGCCTTGGTTTTCCAGACCAGGGGAAAGGGCTTTGGCTCAATCTCAGTTTTAGGGTGTTTCCCCCCCCCCCCCACTATGTAGCCCAGACTGGCCTTGAAAACTCATGGTCCACCTGTCTCTGCCGCCTAAGTAATCCTAGCACTTGGGAGGTAGGGACAGGAAGATGGAAATATGAAGGCCGACCTGGATGGTGTCTTGAGTTCTAGAGCAGCTTATGCTATGTAATGAAGCCACACACAAAGTCCAGCCCCGCAAACATTCTCCGTGTCACTCCTCACCATGTGGGGGCAGCACCGAGCAGCCACCATCCCTGCCCTTGGCAAGGTGACAACGTTGACATTGCACGTAGGTCGTTCCCGAAGGTGGGCAGGAGGACGAGGGGGAGGAGCAGAGGTCTTTTCCTCGCCTCCGAGCCTCCTCCGGTGGACATGAGAGGGTCTCCCACCTCGTTGTGCCACCAGGCTTTTCTAGAGAGCTGTGGACAGCTCCAAAGGAAGCTCAGTCTGCACCAGCACCTTGGAGAACACCTCATTCCTGGGTGGTTGGGGGGGTTCCCTAGAGCCAGAGACTGTCCTGGGCAGAAGGGGACACCCCCTTACCCCTGCACTGCCTTGACCCCTTTGGGGTGAGATAGGTCACAGATGGAGGGCAGAACTTGGTAGCTGGCTGACGGACTCGGGCATAGTGGGCGAATGGAAGGTATTTTTTGGAAGAATGGTATACTTGCTGAGTGTGGGAATTCCACGTCAGGTCACGGGGGGGGGGCTGTCTGCTATCAACATAGGAGCTAGGATTTCAGCATCGGAAGTTTCAAGGGACATGTCCAAATGATGCCACCTGTACCCCGGTGCCAGAGCCTGCGGGCAACGAAAGGGAATCCTGAATGAGGGGGAGAGGATGTGGAAAAATAAAGACATAAGACAAAGGATGGGGTTGGGAGGTCTGCAACTCAAGACTGCAGCACCATTTATTTTTAACTTTCCCTATTATATACTATTAGAAGTCAAGAGGTAACATAAGGTTACCATAGTCCAGAAAAACAAGGAAAATTTCAGTAAAAACAGAGTGCAGTAAAAACAAGACAAGGTCAACTGGTAGAAAGTAAAACAAACTCTGCAGCCATAGCAAAGCAATCCTGGGCACCTGGTGTTTTTTAAGTAAGCCAGTTCCTTGTAGGTGTCTTCAAGTAAACACCAGGGTCAAGATGACCTTCAAACTTTACTGTCGGCTCCCAACACTCCGGACCTCCGTGCCTTTTGGAAAATGGAATACATGGATCTAGAAGGCCACCAAGCTCTCTCTACCCAAGTCTAGCTTCTCTCTTGTGTCCTTGGGCTCCCTTTCTGTACTCGGTCCTCAGGTGTGTTTACACTTGAATGGTGCGGAGACAGCAGGCAGGAGCCGACATGCCCACTCTCTTGCTTCTGCTTTTCTTTATAAATGAGAGGCCATGAGGTGGCATGGTCCCTTCTGACCACAGGGATGTTGTAACTGCTTCTGCTAGAGCAGTATTGAGACAAGAAAAAGGAGCCCCAGAGGCTCACAGGATATGATTCAGAAAGTGAGTGGGGGGGTGGGTGGGGCACATATGCACACACCAGTACTGGAGCCTGCACCACTGTCCCTTAGCTTTTTTCACCCAAGGCTGGAAACTCTACCACTTGAGCCACACCTCCAACTTCTGGCTTCTTACTGGTTCAAAGGAGATAAGAATCTCACAGATTCTCCAGCCCAGGCTTTGAACCTGGATCCTCAGATCTCAGCCTCCTGAGTAGCTAGGATTACAGGGGTGAGCCACTGGTGCCTGGCCTGCGACAATACATTGTCATGGGCCAGTGCAGCCCCGCACCCAGCCTGAGAACCACCCCCAGACCCAACCGAGCTTCCTGCCATAGGCAGCTCCCAATGCACCCACGTCAATGACTATTTCCTTCCCAGTGCTCGCTGACTCCACCGGAATGGTGTCCAGGTGGATGGAGGAGGGGCTGTGGCTCACTGGATGGGGCCTCCTGGTTCTCTTGGCCTCTCACCTCCTCCTTGGCTTCACCAACACCCACAGTCCATTGGGGAGCCATCAGAGGGGACCTGCTTTTTGCAATGCTAGCAATGTCCCCCCATGAAGGAAGAACATCACTAGGGAGGGAGGAGGTGGGTTAGGGGATGGGTGGTTCCCTCTGGTGTCAGGGTCCAGGGGTGCCCGTGGATGGTGGAGGGCTGATGGGGCCCTGACAGTGCCTGGGTTAAGGCTTCCTCCCTCTTCCCTTCCACTTCCTCTTCCTCCTCCCCTTTGTGTAGCTCTTATTCCAAGCCCTGTACTTGGTTCCTCAAAGAAGAGCCTAGAAAAACAGATTGCAAATGGTGAGCCCACTGCACCAGCTGGACATGTGGCTGCTGCTGCTGCTGAAACTGTGGGGGTGCGTGGGGGTGGAGTGGAGGAAGAAGCAGAATGAATTGTACAGCCTGCAGGTACAGCGTCAGGTGACGGTGCAGGAGGGCCTCTGTGTCCATGTGCCCTGCTCCTTCTCCTACCCCGGGGAGGAGGAAATGGACTGGATGCCAGTCCATGGCTACTGGTACAAGTCTGAAAAGCTGAAGATTCTGGTGGCCACAAATGACCCAGCGCAACAGGTGCATGAGGAGGAAAAGGGTCGATTCCACCTCCTCGGGGATCCCAAGATCAACAATTGCTCCCTGGGCATCAGAAACGCCAGGGAGAAAGACAAGGGGATGTACTTCTTCCGAGTAGAGAGAGGGAATATAAAATGGACTTATACTGGTAACAAACTGTCCCTGAGAGTGACAGGTAAGTCCCCTCCCCAGGTGGACCCTGGGAAAGATTGTGGGGGCCACAGGGAGGATTCGATGGGACCCCATCCCGAGGGGAGGCGGGGGAGAACACGAGGGGTTCCCAGGAGGAGCTGGGTCAGAGTGTGAGCTTCCTCAGGGTCTCCCTACTGACCCGTGTGTCCCCTTTCTTCACCAGCCTTGAACCGCACCCCTAACATCCTTCTCCTGGGGACCCTGGAAGCCGGCAGGCCCAGTAACATCACCTGCTCTGTGCCCTGGGCGTGTGAGCAGGGGGCACCCCCCATCTTCTCCTGGAGATTGGCTTCCGTGTCCCCCCTGGGTCCCCAGGTCACCCAGTCGGCAGTGCTCACCTTCACCCCCCAACCCCAGGACCATGGCACCAACCTCACCTGCCAGGTGACCCTGCCTGCAGCCAATGTGACCAGGAGTGCGGCCATTCAGCTCAGCATCTTATGTGAGAGCTGGGCTAGGCCCCTGGGCATCTGGTGGAGAAGACATGCTGCGGGAGGGGGGGGGACAGAGGGCAAGAGGGCTAGGCACAGGAGGAAGGAGGATGCAGCCCCACTGCTCCCCACTTACATACCTCCTGGGGATGGAGGGCAGATGTCCGGCTGGCCACACCACCGATGCACCTGCCATGTTCTATCTCAGATTCCCCACAGAACCTGACCCTGATGGCAGTGTCCAAAGGAGCCAGCTCAGGTAGGAGGAGCCTTGCGGGCAGGGTGGGACCCAACCCACCCTACCTCAGGAATGTGGTCCTCCTCACCCATCATCATGTTCCCCTTCACCCCCCCAACTTCTGGCCATGGCCCTCCGCCAGCATAGGAATAGGGAGACAGGCACACTGCAGGCCTTCGACGGGCCTTCCTGTCCTCATCCACCTGTGTGTTCTCATTGGTCTTCCTTCTACCCAGCCCGGGGTGGGGAGTGGGGGGTGGGGGCTCTGCTCATGAGGAGACATGGCTATGTGGACACGTGTGGACAACCAGAGTCTCTGTTTGTGGAGGAGACACAGCCACGTGGACATGCGTGGACATCCTGCACCCAGCTCTGCTGGGCTTTGGCTCGTCCCCTGATTGCCTGAGCCCATCCTTGGGCTCTAGGACAGTGCTGCCCACAGCCCTGTGGGCCCTAGTTCTGGGAGCATCCATGGACAATGGAGTGGGGGGCTCTGGTTTTATTTTATCAATGGAAATGGGCAATGAATGGTTCTGTCCACCTCTCTGTGTGTGCACATGTGTTCATGTATGCACGTGTGTGCAAGTGTGTGCATGCATTCATATGTGTATGTGTGCATATGTGTGAACGTTTCCTTCTTTGGCCCCCAGCATCCTTCTGTCCTCTCTCTTGTATATCTGACTGCCAGTGTCTCTCTGCAGCCCCGGAAGCCCTCAGGAATGGCTCATCTGTCTCGGTTCAAGAAGGCCAGGCTCTTCGCCTGCTATGCTCTGCAGATGGCCACCCCCCTGCCAAGCTCAGCTGGTCCTGGGGTAACCTGAGCCTGTGCCCCACTCAGCCCTCTGACCCAGGCATGCTGGACCTCTCTCCAGTCAACCTGCAGCAGGGTGGGGAGTTCACCTGCCAAGCTCAGAACGTCCTGGGTGCCCAGCACGTGTCCCTGACCATCTCCCCACAGAGTGAGTGCCCGCTGGGCTGGAGAAGGGCTGGAGGAGGGAAGCCTCACTCCACCCCAAAGTCAGCCGCCTCACTCAGCTTCAAAGAGGAGCCCAGCTGTGAGGCCTGGAGTTTTCCCTGGCCAAACCAACCAACTCAGCGATCAATATGAAAAATATTATGATGTCCAGTGCCATCTCAACAGACAAACTGGGTGTGGTAGAGGGTGCCTGAGATTGCAGCTAGGGGGGAGGCCTAGTCAGGAGGATCCCCCTCAGAGGCCTACTAGGCAAAAATGCAAGGCCATTGCTGAAGTTGGGGCTCCGGTGACAGGGCACCTGCTTAGCAAGAGTGAGCCACTGAATTCAAACTCCAGCACCACCAAATAGTAACAACAACAACAACAACAATAATAATAATTTTCAATGAAGACAAGCTGCCAGCTAGCACTTTCCAGACACAAGGGGTCTGCAAAGTCTAAGTTTGGGGTCCAGCAGGGCTAAGGTGGGGGAAGGAAGGAAAGTCCTGGAGGGGAATCCACAAAACAGGCCCCTCTTTCCCCAGGCAAAGCGGAGTCTCTGTCGGGAATGCTGCTGGGGGCTGCTGGTGGCGCCGGCGTAGTCATCCTGCTCCTCTTAGGCATCTGCCTCCTCTTCCTCCTGTGAGTATTGGGGTGCGGGGAGGGAAAGCCGGACACAGAGCCCAGAGCCCACAGCTGGAAGAACCTGGATACCCGAGGGTTCGAAGGGGGGGCGGCCGTGCTCCTCCCTTCTCAACACTGGAGCCTCTGGACGGGCCCAGGACCCCTCCCCCCATCTCCACCTGCCTCAAAGGGTTTAATGGGGAACTGGGGTAGAGGTGAAGCTCTGCCCGCTGCACCCCAGCCTGGCCAACCTGAAAAGCCCCCTGTGTCCTTATTCAGAGTCCGGTCCTACAGGAGGAAGTCAGCAAGGCCAGCGGCAGTCACAGCTTGTGTCACGGATTCCAGCACTGGTCCCGGTGCGGGTGTGGCCTTACATGTGTATGATGTGGCTGTGGCCCAGCAGGTGCATGCTGTGGGCGGGGCCCCACAGGTGAGTGGTGTGGGCGGGGTCTCACATGTGCATGGTGTGGGAATGGTATCGCATGGACATAGTGTGTGGGTGGCCCTGCAGGTGTGTGGTATGTGCCTGGCATCGCGGGTGCGAGGTATGTGCAAGGCCTCGTGAGTGACTGGTGTGGGCGGGGCCTCGCATGTGCGTGCTGTGGGTGAGGGCGGGGCCTCACATGTACATTTATGGGCGTGGCCCCGCAGGTGTGGGAGTGGCTTCGCGGGTGCGTGCTGTGGGCAGGACCCTATAGGTGTCTTACAGCTGGGTGCTGGTGGCTCACGCCTGTAATCCTACCTATTCAGGAGGCTGAGATCTGAGGATCTTGGTTCAGAGCCAGCCTGGGCAGGAAAGTCCATGAGACTCTTATCTCCAATAAACCACTAGAAAACTGAAAATGGTGCTGTGGCTCAAGCGATAGAGCACTCACCTTGAGCTGAAGAACTGAGGGACAGTGCCCAGGCCCAGAGTTCAGGCCCCATGACCGGAAAAAAAAATATATGTATGTGTGTGTGTGTATACATATACCTATATATATATATATATATATATATATATATATACATATACATATATATGTAGTCTTACAGTCCTGTAAGTCCACAGTGGGTCTAATTGGGCTAAAATCAAGGAGTTGGCAGGGATGGGGTCTGGTTCCTTCCTGGGGCAGGTGAGGTGTGTAAGCAGGGGAGGCCTTCCTACCTTTTGGTACCTTTTTTTCAGTTTCTTTCTTCAAGGTTGTGTGGTTTTCTTTGTAGAGTTACTTCAGCCTCTTTGGTTAGGTTTATTCCTCAGTATTTGTGGTTGTGGTTGAGGCTCTCGTATATAGAATTGATTTTCGAATTTCTTTCTTAGCCTGCTTCCTTCTTTCAGCGTCTAGTAAAACTACTGATTTTTTATGTTCTGCTGAGCCAATCTAAGAGTCTTCTGGTGGATGTGTGGATGAAGGGACCCCCAGTCCACTGGAACCCCCTTCCTGATCCTACTCCCCTGTCCTCCTCTGACTTCCACATGCTCTGCCCCCAGGGCCCCAAGACCAAATCTGAAGCAGAGGACAGTTTCCTGTGCCAGCCTCCCAAGGTTTCCTCTTCCAAGGAAGGTGATGCCCACTACGTAGAGGTAGATGAGATCCACTACGCGACGCTCAGCTTTCAGGGGAGGAAGCCCAAGGAGCCACAGGGCCAGCCTGCCATGCAGAGCGAGTATGCAGAAATACAGACTCACACGTGACAAGCTAGAGAGGCTTGGTCCTGGATGGAAGGATCCTGGCCTCCACGGGGCAGAGGGTGGGGGGGGAGGGGAGGGGGAAGCTACAGCCCCTTCCCCCAGCCACATGGCACCTCTAGGCTGTTGCTGGATCTTTCCTCTGTTCGCCAGCTCTACAGACCCTGGCAACCCCATCCTACCCTCCACCTCTGTGAGTTTATGTTTTAAAATCACATATGCGTGAGATTGTGCAGGATGTGTCTCCCTCTGTGCCTGGTTTATTTCACTTAAAAATGTCCTCTGGGCTGGGCACTGGTGGCTTATGCCTGTAATCCTAGCTACTCAGGAAGCTGAGATCTGAGGATCACAGTTCAAAGCCAGCCCAGGCAAGAAAGTCCATGACACTCTTACCTCCAGTGAACCACCCGGACACTGGAGATGGCTCTATATCACAAGGGGTAGAGCTGGAGCTAAAAGCTGAAGGGCAGTGCCCAGGCCCAGAGTTCAAGCCCCATGACTGAAAAACAAAATGTCCTCTAGGTTTTTCTGCATGGTCACTGATGACAGAGCAATGTGTATTCAGAATATTGAAAAGAGAGGATTTAAAATATTCCCACATTTAAAAATGTAAAGAAATGGTAGCTATTTGAAATGATTTATGACAGTGTATGCTTGTAGTCCCAGCCCTTGGGAAGGCTGAGGCAGGAGGATACTATACTAAAACAATATTCAGTGAAAGACAAAGTAGGTGCTAGTGGTTCATGCTTGTGATCTTACTCAGGAGGCTGAGATCTGGAAGATTATTATTTTTTTTTTGGGTCCGGTTGTGGGGCCTGAACTCTGGGCCTGGGCGCTGTCCCTCAGCTCTTCAGCTCAAGGCTAGCGCTCTACTATTTGAGCCACAGCTCCACTTCCGGCTTTTTTCTTTTTGCTTATGTGGTGCTGAGGAATCGAACCCAGGGCCTTGAGCATGCAAGGCAAGCGCTCTACCACTGAGCCACCTTCCCAGCCCTGGAGGATTATTATTTGAAGCCAATCCAAACAGAAAAGTTTAAGAGAACCCATCTCCAATTAACCAACAAAAAGCAGGACTGGAGGCATGGTTCAAGTGCTTAGATGACCACCTGAGTAAGCTTGAGACCCTGCATTCAAACTCTAGAACTGCCACAACAAAAACAAATAAAAGTTACCAGAAGCTTGGCGCTGGTGGCTCACACCTGTAATCCTAGCTACTCAGGAGGCTGAGAGTACAGGATCAAGGATTGAAGGAAAGTCCATGAGACTCTTATCTCCAGTTAGCATCCAGAAAACTGAAGTGGTGTGTGGCTGAAAGTGGCTGTCTTAGATGAATAAATCATGCCCTGAGATCAAGCCCCATGACCAACCAAAAACAAACAAACAAGAACAACATCAAATGCATCCTCAGTTCTTACCATATATTGATTAAAAATAATCCCAGTAAAGTAAAAAAAAAACAAAGCAAAGAATAAAAAAACAAAACAATAAAATAATCCATGTCAAACTACAATATATGTATATATGTATAAGTATATTGTGCATGTAAATAGATACAGGTTAATATGTACATGTGTATGATAAACTAAGAAGTTGATTCTCAAATCTATTAAAAAATACAAAGGGCCAAGGATAGTCAGAGGAGGAGGAGGAAGAAGAAGAGGAGGAGTATTAGGGGAAAGAGGAGGAGGAAGAGGAGGAGGAAGGGAGGAAGAAGAGTTCAGACTAACATTTCTTATGATACTGTATCACACAGTATAAAGAATCTGACTAAATGGGGCTGGGAAGGTGGCTCAGTGGTAGAGTGCTTGCCTTGCATGCATGAGAGTCTGGGTTCAATTCCTCAGCACCAAATAAACAGAAAAAGTTGGAAGTGGCGCTGTGGCTCAAGTGGTAGAGCGCTAGCTTTGAGCTAAATCACTGAGGGACAGTGCCCAGGCCCAGAGTTCAGACTCCCAAACCAACCAACCAACCAACCAACAAACAAAAAAAATCTGACTGATAACAAAGGGGCCAAGAGCTGGGGTTGGGGCTGATCAGGTAACTGCTATGGAGGTGGGGCCAGCCAATCAGAGTAGCCAAGTCTGTTCTCCAGACAACCACACTAGACTTGTCTCTTCTCCAGCCAATCAGCAGTGCACAGGACTATCCCATAGCCAATTGGAGTATGTGCCTCTTGGAGCTGACGGATAGCACCAGAGCCAATCAAGAGCTAAAAGTGCATGCCCCTTCCCTGGTGTCCAGTGAGCTCCAGTCAATCAGTAATGGTGGGCAGCACCCTGGGATTACACCAGCACCAATGCAACCACAACTTATACATTAACCCTGATCCAATCCCTTCCTCTTGATAAACTCTGCTAATTTTACCAACATTTTCTTCATCACATTTTCAAAATGCATCAGTTCCTTAGTATTTCTGTTTATGCTCTCTATTCCCTGGACAGATATTTGTGTCATGTTAGTCCATTGGGGTTTCCTTCATTCTCTATGGCTCTGGACCTGCTCATTAGTCTGGGGTTCACCTTGCCTCCCAGCTTAGATGTCCACCCACCAGACAGATCTGAGCTCCCCACTCATCACCTGACTCAGCTCTGATCTGGCCAGGCTGGGTCCCACACTGCTTCCCTGTCACCAGCCAGTGCTCCTCCCGAGTCTGCCTCACTTCAATTCCTCCCCTCCACTAAACACAGACAGCCTGTCCCACCTGGGGAAGGGAGAGCAAGGATGAAGTGGCAGCCATGCAGAGATAGAGCCTGTGCCAGGGACTCTTCACTTCTCTTTCTCCTCCATCCTCTGAGCAGCCCGGTCTTACAGACTTGCCCTGACAATCTGAGGGCTGAAGACTAGCTGGCCCACTATGGGCCACAACAACATGCTCCAGTCCTTGATGGGGTGGAGGTGGAGAGGAAGTCCCAGGCCATGGTGGGATCAGAACTCACTCCTCCTGTGATCTTTCTCCTGGATCAGCCGTCTTCTCTCTGTGTTCTTATGTGGCCTTCCCTGTGTGGTAGTTGGTCCTGCCTCCTCTCCAATGAGTATGCAGGTTGTTTTGGATTCAAATCCACCCTTGTGAACTCATTTTCAATTAGCTTCTCTTTATTGACACAATATACAAATAAAGTCACATCCTGAGTTCCTGAGAGTTGGGACTTCCATATGTGAATTTAAAGATGGACACAATTGTCCTATCATATTCCCTGAGCCTCCGCATCCAGCTGTGCAGGTCTGCAGCTTGGCTAGGCCCCTTCCCTGGGCAGCACAGCGGGCATTAGGGCTACAGGTCCTGCCTGGCCACTGTGTGGCTACAGAGTCTGACTCTGACTTCCTTGCAGCGAAGTCTCAGATGCTGCAACCCACAAGGAAATGTGGGCCCTAGGAGATGCTTGCTGGGGGCAGGTCTCAGAATGAAAACTGTTGATGGGTAGGGTAGGACTTGTGACCTCATGGCATGCATGACAACCAGCTGGGAGTCTGCAGAGCACATTGACATCCATATTCCCATGGGAGGGTCAGGAATTGAAAGGTCTCCTGGGACAGATGAGGGGGCCAGGATCCCCTGACTGTAAAGCCAACATTGTGTGGCTGGTGCTCACATGCCAGGGTCTTTGTCTCTGCTCCATGTACACGCCAGGAACACCTGGGGAAGGGCAGGGAAGTGGCCAACTTTCCCTATCACTGTGACAAATACCTGGGAGACACTATGGAAAAGGAAGGAAGATTTGTCCTGGCTCCAGACTTCAGACTTCTATGGCAAGATGGCTCCATTGCTTTTGGGCCTATGGCAGAACCTAGGGGAGGAAAGCTGCTCAGTTCCTGGCATCCAGGAAGCAGAGAGTGGGAAAAATGGCTGCTCAGCTTATGGCATAGCCCTCAAGATCCCAGTGCTGCACACAAGCCCTGAAGAGCCCTTTACTAATCTCAGCAAGGCTAACCCCAGCCAAATTGACCATCGAGATGAACCACCACAGAGAGAAGATAAACTCAGAGGCCCCAAATCACCCGAGAAGCCACACCTTATCCTGAAGCCATGCCTGTCTGAGAACTCTCCAGCTGTCTGCATGGGGTAATGGGGTTTCTTACAGACCCCTGCATCACAGCCCCTTCTAGAAAATGATGGCTTGGCCTGGAGTTTCTCCATCTTCTCCTTCCTTAATGAATTTCTCAAAGGGCAGAGATGAAATCGGTCAAGGTTGCTCTTGTACAGAAAGAAGCAGCTGCTGGTGGAGTTGTTGTCATGGTCATTGGTTCAGGGGACCTTCCCCCAAATGTATTGCCTTCCTGTAAGGCTTGAATTCAAGTCCTGCCAGGTGGATTCCCTAGAGCACCCGAAAGCTGTGTGTACTCAGGAAGTGCTGACTGGCCTGATGGAGGGTGAAGCCACAGACAGAGGGCGGGGAGCACAGTGTTCGTCCTTCTTGGTGTATTATGGCCCCATCTGCGAAGGGAAGTGGGAAAGTTTCTCTAATAATGACTGGACATGCACTTCCTCCTCTGTGGTCTACTGGCTCCTCATTCCGGCATGTCATATGGGGCTTGTCAGCCCTGACATCAAGACCGATCACTCACACCCCCAACTTCTCACCTCACCTCACTTCCCTGCTCCCACCTGGCTGGATCCCAGACAGCAGCCCTCTGCCTCAGTGATGTGGTGGCAGCTGCTGCTGCCCTTGCTGTGGGTCCTCGAGCAGGTGCAGGCAGAGGGCTGGGGAAGCTGAGCCAAGCTGATGATGGTGTCCCTGACAGAAGGTTCTGGGCTGCACATGAGATATACACATTGGAAGTGCCAGAGTCTGTAACCATGCAGGAGGGTCTGTGTGTCCTCGGGCCCTGCACTTTCTTCCACTCTGATTTGCAGAGCTCCACTGACCCAGTCTTTGGCTACTGGTTCCTGGCTGGGACTAATGTAGGCTATGGATCTCTGGTGGCCACCAACAACCCAACAACCCACATAGAGATGTGGATATGGAGACCCGTGGCCGATTCCAGCTGGTCCGGGATCCGCAGGACAACAACTGCTCCTTGGGCATCAGAGATGCAAAGAGGAAGGAAACGGGAAGATACTTCTTCAGAATACAGGGCAAGTCTGTGAGACTCAGTTACAAAGACAAGACTGTGGCTCACAAGTCAGGACAGGATCACATGGGGGAAGACCCCATCCATGGGCCCGCGGGGTGGGGACAGGTCCTCTGGTCTTCAAGGCAGGGAGGAGGTAGGGGTGAGGGACAGGCTGACCTGAGCCAAGAACAGGCTTTGTCCCCACGATGGCCCCAGACTGGGTGTGTCTCCCCCAGTGCTCATGGAGGTCATTGTCCTGGATGTGCCCGAGACCCTGAAGTCTGGACGCTTCAGAAACGTCACCTGTTTGGTGCCGTGGGCCTGTGAGCAGGGGATGCCCCCTGTGTTCCCCTGGAGGTTGTCGTCCCCCATGGTCGTGGAACCCGGGGCCAACCCCACCCCTGTGCTCCCTATCACCCCATCGCCGGAGGATCACGGGGCCAATCTCACCTGCCAGGCAAACTTTCCCGGAGTTGGGGTGAGAGTGGAGAGAACCATGCAGCTCAATGTATCTTGTGAGTGCCAGGCCAAGTCTCAGGGCCCCTGGGGACACCAGGGCAGAGGCAAATGGGGGACCCCACAAGGTCAGGGGAGGACATGAGTTTCTGTGAGGGCAGGGGGCACATGGGACCCAATGAGTACAGAGGGGTCAGTGAGGGCAGAGGAGGACATGGGAGTCAGTGGGGACAGAAGGGGACTTGTGGGTCCACAAAGGCAGAAGGGGACATGGAGAGTCAGTGAGGGCAAAGCGGGTCATGGGACCCCATGATGGCAGGGGAGGATGTGGGGAGCCCACAAGGGCAGGGAAGGTCATGGGGGTCAGCAAGAGCAGGGGAAGAAGCTCTCAGGACAGCACTAGCCCCGAGATCAGGAAGAAAAGAAAGAGCATGCTGAATTCCACTCCCTTCCTCTTTCTAAGTTTTTGTGTGGAAAGCACTAACAGCCACCTACTGTCATGGGAAAGGGGATGACCATGTCTGTCTCTCAGTCTGTCCAGATGCACCTCAGAACCTGAGCATCAGTGTGTCACGGGGAGCCTGCACAGGTAGAACGGAACCTCTCATCCCTGGGTGTGTGAGTGTGAATGTGTAAGAGGGTGTGTGTGTATGTGTGAGTGTGAGCGTGTGTGTATGAGTGTGAGTGTATTAGCATGTGTTGCAAGTGTATGAGTGTGTGAGTGTGACCATCTCCACTCAGCAGACAGCAGAGGTATGGCAGGCCTCAGGAGGAAGGCTCAGGACCATAGTGACAGGCTGGTTTCCTGCAGGCCCAACAGGCAGCCAGAATCCCCGATCACAGGAGTCCTTGGTCTGTGGCTGGCTTGGGAAGGAAAACAAGGGAGAATAGGAAGGCCTGGATCACAATGAGGCTCAGACACCATGGGGGGATAGCGAGCCCATCCCCTTTTAGCCCCCCGTCCATGCCTGCAGGCTAACCTCACCTGTTTCTCCCACACAGGCCAGGGCTGCTTCTCCACAGCCTTTTTCATGGCAGTAGACCTGAGCATCAGAGCCAAGGCTCTACTTTCCCTCTGCCTCACAGTCGTGGTCATGTGAGTTGGGAAGGCTCAGGAGTCAGCAGTCAGAGTCATGAGGTCTGGAGCCTAGGAAAGAGTAGGGGCAGCAGTGCTTCCAGGCGGGCTTTATTCCCACAGCATGTAGAGGTTAAGGAAATCTGCCTCGGGCAGAGAAGTGCACAACCCAGGTCTCCCAGCCCAGCACCTTCCTTCATTACAGCAAAATCGACCCTAAGGTCTGGGCCCTGGTGAGTGTGCAGCCCACCAGGCTGATAATTCACTCTGGAGCCTAAATCAAGCCCCTTCTCCTAATTCTCTTGGGAGTCATAGGGATGTTTGTTTGTCTGGGACAAGGTTTTACTATGTCATCTAGGATGGCTTCAAACTGGCTATCCTCCTGCTCCTCAGCCTTCTGAATAACTCTGTGCCTCTTTGCTCGACTCTTCTTTAGAAAGAAGGGTGTCCCTGAGAACAAGTAGGGACAAGCTTCCGGAGTGTGTGCCTCTTGATTACAGAGTAGTATTCCAGGAGGCTGCAGTGACTGCTTGGGTTTTCTTTTCCTTCCTTCTTTTCGTTCTTTCTTTCTCATTCATTCATTCTTTCTTTCTTACTTTTCTCTTTCTTTCTTTCTTTCCTTCTTTCCTTCCTTCTTTCTTTCTTTCTTTCTTTCTTTCTCTCTCTCTCTCTTTCTTTCCTTCTTTCTTTCTTTTTTTGATGGGGCTTTGAACTCTGGGCCTTGGCGCTCTCACTGAGCTGTTCAGCTTATGGCTAGCACTCTACCACTTGAGCCACAGTGCCACTTCTGGCTTACTCTGCTTATGTGGTGCTGAGGAATCAAACCCATGGCCTATGCATGCCAGGCAAGTACTCTACCACTGAACCACCTTCCCAGGCCACTGCGTGGATTTTCTACCCTTCTTGCTTATGGAGTGCAGGAAAAGAGGCAGGAAGGGGTGAGATGGAAAACGGGATGTGCTGCTGACCTCCCAGTACACAGATATCCCACCATCAAAATCATAAAAACAAGCTAGGCATGGTGGCTCACATCTGTCATCCTTGCACTTTGGTGGGCTGAGATTGGGAGAGTGATGCTTCAGGGCTTGCCTGAGCATAAAGACCAGACTTTACTGGAACAACATTGAAAGCAAAAGGGACTGGGGGCATAGCCAAACTAGTAGAGCACCTGCCTAGGAAACTCAAGGCCCATGTGGCCATGCCCAGCCTGGCCAAATCTGTTGGCCACGCCCCCAGCCTTCCTGTACCCCTTGTTCCTAGGGGTGGGGATGGAAGGCAGACTCAGTGAGGGACTGGGTTTTTCTCCCAGCTGTGGCTACAGCAGCCACGTTATACCAGGCACCTGCTCAGTGCTCAACCTCTGTGTTGAGTAAATGAGTGAATGAATGACTGAATGAGAGAGGGTAGATATTGTTTCCTTGGATGCAGAATCTGAAGGCCAAGCCAAGCATCTCTCCCAGGACAGCTTGTCTAGGCGCTGGCTAGCTCCCCAGAACCAAGGAAGAACTAGAAGGCCGCCCTCAGCTGCCCCAAGCCCACATCACCCACTCAAGGTCCACCGAGACCTGCCCAGAAGAACTCCATTATGCTGCTCTCAACATCTCCCAGTCTTTGGGATGCCGAGACCCAGGGGCTCTGAGGAGAATTTCGCAGAAATCCATTTCCACAGAAGGTCCTCTAGGCTGTAGATCTGGACCTCAGCCAGGGAGCCAGGAGGAGGTAAGAAAGAGGCTTAGAGCACCCACTGCAAAGTCTCTTTAGTAACATTTACAAATCCTTTAGGATGAGCCGGGTGCCTGTGGCTCATGCTTATAATCCTAGCTACTCAGAAGGCTACATTGGAGGATCAGGGTTCCAAGCCAGCCTGGGCAGGAAAGTTCCTGAGATTCTTATGTCCCATTAACCACCAAAAGGCTGGAAGTAGAACAGTGGCTTAAATGGGAGAGCACCAGCCTTGAAGGAAAAAGATCTAAGATAGCACCTCGGCCTTGAGTTCAATCCTCAATACCAAAATGACAACCATAACAAAACCCTCCAGCAATCAGCCATCAGACCTTCCCAGCACTGAGCCAGGATTGCAGTACTGAACCTGCAGGATGCAGTGTATCATGTCCTGAGCCCATTATTTGTTCTTTCCTTGGAGAAATGGCTTCATAGTAGAGCACTTGTTCAGCATGCACAGGTGCTGGTTTCACTTCTACAAACACAAAATAAGTAAAAGTGAAATCTTAATAAAAAAGAAAAAAAGTCCCATAAAATAAGAGAGACCTACAGCTTGATGCTGGTGAGTAATACTAGTAATCCTAGCTACTCAGTAGTCAGAGATTACAGAATCAAGGATCCATGGAAGCCACCTGGGGCCAGAAAGTCATTGAGCCTCTTATCTTCCATTAGCCTCCAGAAAACTGAAATGGTGCTGTGGCTCAAAGTGTTAGAGGGCTGGCTTTGATCAACAAATTTCAGGGAGAGCACCCAGGCTCTGAGTTCAAGTCCCATGACCAATCAAAAACCAAATAACAACAAAATCTAATGCCTCCTCAATTCTTACTATATTGATTTAAAATCATCACAGTAGAGTTAAAAGAAAAAAAACACAAATCACAGAATAAAAACAAACCAAACCAAAATAATTCCTGTCGAGCTACAATATATGTATCTATGTATATTGTGCATGTAAGTAGATACAGGTTAATATATACATGTATGTGATAGACTGAGATGTTGATTCTCAGAATTATTCGGAAATACAAAGGGCCAAGGATAGTAGAGGAGGAGGAAGAGGAGGAAGAAGAGTTCAGGCTTACCATACTGGATCACAAAGTATAAAGAATCTGACGGAAGACAAAGGGGCCAAGAGGTGGAGTTGGAGCTGACCAGGTCACTGCTATGGAGGTGGGGCCAGCCAATCAGAGTACCCAAGTCTGTTCTCCAGACAATCAGAATACACATGTCTCTTCTCTGGCCAAGCAGCTGTGCATATGACTAACCCATTGCCATATAGAGTGTGTGCCTTTAAGAGCTGATGGGTAGCTACCAGAGCCAATCAGGAGGTGAAAGTGCATGCCCCCTCCTGGTGTCCAGTGAGCTCCAGCCAATCAGTAATGGTGGGTAGCGTCCTGGGATTGCACTTATACCAATGCAACCATACCTCATATATTAACCATGATCCTATCCCTTCCTCTTGATAAATTCTGTTTAATTTTCCTGACATTTTCTTCATTATATTTTCAAAAGACTTCACTTCCTTAGTATTTTTGTTTATGGTTTGTCTGCCCTCATAGGCCACATGCTTGGTGTGGGCAGATATTTGTGTCATGTTAGCCCATTTGGGTTTCCTCTATGGCTCTGGACCTGCCTATTAGTCTGGAGTCACCTTGTCTCCCAGCTTAGCTGTCCACCCACCAGACAGATCTGAGCTCCCTCTATTAGGCTCCCTGCTCATCTCCTGACTCAGCTCTGATGTGGCCAGGCTGTGGACTCACACTGCTTCCCTGTCACCAGCCAGTGCTCCTCCCGAGTCTGCCTCACTACAATTCCTCCCCTCCACTAAACACAGACAGCCTGTCCCACCTGGGGAGGGGAGAGCAAGGATGAAGTGGCAGCCATTCAAAGACAGAGTCCCTGTGCCAGGGACTCTTCACGTCTCTTTCTCCTGCATTCTCTGAGCAGCCTGTTCTTAACAGACTTGCCCTGACAATCTGAGGGCTGAAGACTAGCTGGCCCATTATGGGCTGCAACAAAATGCTCCAGTACTTGATGGGGGGAGGGCAGGAAGTCCCAGGCCATGGTGGGATCAGGACTCACTTTCCTTGTGATCCTTCTCCTTGATCAGCCATCTTCTCTATGTGTTCTCATGTGGTCTTTCCTGTGTGGTAGTTGGTCCTGCCTCCTCTCCAATGAGTATACAGGTTGTATTGGATTCAAATCCACCCTCGAGAACTCATTTTCAATTAGCTTGTCTTTATCGACACAATACACAAATATAATCACATTGTGAGTTCCTGAGAGTTGGGACTTCCATATGTGAATTTGAAGATGGACACAATTGGCCTATCACATTCCCCGAGTCTCTGCATCTAGCTGTGCAGGTCTGCAGCTTGGCTAGGCCCTTTCCCTGGGCAGCACAGCGGGCATTAGGGCCACAGGTCCAGCCTGGCCACTGTGTGGCTACAGAGTCTGAATCTGACTTCCTTGTTGCGAAGTCTCAGATGCTGCAACCCACAAGGAAATGTGGGCCCTAGGAGATGCTTGCTGGGGGCAGGTCTCATAAGACCACTGAGGATGGGCTGGGTAGGACTTCTGGCCTCATGGCATGCATAACATCCAGCTGGGAATCTGCAGAGCACATTGACCTCCATCTTCCCATAGGAGGGTCAGGAATTGAGAGGTCTCCTGGGACAGATGAGGGGGCCAGGATCCCCTGACTGTAAAGCCAACATCTTGTGGCTGGTGCTCCCATGCCAGGGTCTTTGTCTCTGCTCCATGTACACGCCAGGAACACCTGGGGAAGGGCAGGGAAGTGGCCAACTTTCCCTATCACTGTGACAAATACCTGGGAGACACTATGGCAAAGGAAGGAAGATTTGTCCTGGCTCCAGACTTCAGACTTCTATGGCAAGATGGCTCCATTGCTTTTGGGCCTATGGCAGAACCCAGGGGAGCAAAGCTGCTCAGTTCCTGGCATGCAGGAAACAGAGAGTAGGAGAAATGGCTGCTCAGTTTATGGCATAGCCCTCAAGATCCCAGTGCTGCATACAAGCCCTGTAGCGCCCTTTACTAATCTCAGCAAGGCTAACCCCAGTGGCATTGACCATGGAGATGAACCACCACAGAGAGAAGATAAGCTCAGAGGCCCCAAATCACCGGAGAAGCCACACCCTATCCTGAACCCATGCCTATCTGAGAACTCTCCAGCTGTCTGCATGGGGTAATAGGGTTTCTTACAGAAGCCTGTATCACAGCCCCTTCCAGAAAATGCTGGCTTGGCCTGGATTTTCTCCACCTCCTCCTTCCTTTAGAGAATTTCTCAAGAGGCAGAGATAAATTCAGTCATGGTTCCTCTTATACAAAAGAAGCAGGTGCTGGTGGGGTTGTTGTCATGGTCATTCTTTTGGGGGACCTTCCCCCAATTGCTGTGCCTTCCTGCCAGGCCTGAATTCAAGTCCTGCCAGATGGATTCACCTGGAAACTGAGTGTGCTCAGGAAGTGCTGACTGGCCTGGTGGGGGCAGGGTGAAGCCACAGACAGAGGTTGGGGAGCACAAGACAGAAGTGGGAAAGTTTCTCTTACAGTGACTGGGCATAAACTTCCTCTTCTGTGGTCACCTGGCTCCTCATTCCTGTGTGTTCCCTGGGGCTGTCAGTCTTGACACTAAGGCAGGTCACTTACAACCCCAACTTCTCACATCACTTCCCTGTTCTCACTTGGCTGGATCCCAGCCAGCAGCCCTCTGCCTCAGCGATGTGGTGGTGGCTGCTGCTGCCCTTACTGTGGGCCCTTGAGCAGGCACAGGCAGAGGAGCCGGGGAAGCTGAGCCAAGCTGACGATGGTGGTGTCCCCGACAGAAGCTTCTGGGCTGCATATAACAGATACACACTGGAAGTGCCGGAGTCTGTGACCGTGCAGGAGGGTCTGTGTGTCCTTGTGCCCTGCACTTTCTTCCACTCTGGTTTGCAGAGCTCCACTGACACAGTCTTTGGCTACTGGTTCCTGGATGGGACTAATGTAGGCCGTGGATCTCCTGTGGCCACCAACAACCCACATAGAGACGTGGATATGGAGACCCGTGGCCGATTCCAGCTGGTCGGGGACCCGCAGGACAACAACTGCTCCTTGGGCATCAGAGATGCAAAGAGGAAGGACACTGGAAGATACCTCTTCAGAATACAGAGCAGTTCTGTGAAACACAGTTACAAAGACAAGCAGCTCTCTCTGTCGGTCACAGGTCAGGACAGGGCCACATGGGTGAGGCCCCTGGTCTCTGGGCCCGCGGGGTGGGGACAGATCTTCTGGTCTTCATGGCAGGGGGGAGGTTGGGGTGGGGGACAGGCTGACCTGAGCCAAGAACAGGCTTTGTTCCCACGATGGCCCCAGCCTGGGTGTGTCTCCCCCAGATCTCACGGAGGTCCCTGTTGTGGATGTGCCCGAGAGCCTGCAGTCTGGACGCCGCAGCAACATCACCTGTTTGGTGCCGTGGGCCTGTGAGCAGGGGACACCCCCTGTGTTCTCCTGGAGGTCGTCGTCCCCCACGGTCCTGGAACCTGGGGCCAACCCCACCCCTGTGCTCCCCATCACCCCATCACCGGAGGATCATGGGGCCAATCTCACCTGCCAGGCAACTTTTCCCGGAGTCGGGGTGACAGTGGAGAGAACCGTGCGGCTCAATGTATATTGTGAGTGCCAGGCCGAGTCCCAGGGCCCCTGGGGGCCTGAATTCAGGGGAATATGGGGGTCCCCACAAAGTCTGGGGAGGACCTGAAAGGTCAGCAAGGGCAGGGGAGGATATAAGAGACTCTACAAGGGTAGGGGAGTTCAGGGGACTTCATGGGGGGGGGTCAGTGAGTGCAGCAGGGGTCATGGTGGTATACACAGGCAGTGAGGTCACAGGGGAGCCCGCAAGGGCAGGGGAGATGGGGTCAGGGAGAGCAGAGGAAGATGCACTCAGGACTGCACTAGCCCGGAGATCAGGAAGAAAAGAAAGAGCATGCTGAATTCCACCCCCTTCCTCTAAGTTTTTGTGTAGAAAGCACCAACAGCCACCTCCTGTAATGAGAAAGGGGCTGATGATGTCTGTCTCTCTGTCTGCCCAGATGCACCTCAGAACCTGAGCATCAGTGTGACACGGGGAGCTGGCACAGGTAGGATGTGACCTCTCATCCCCGGGAGTGTGAGTGTGAATGTGTGAGTGAGTAAGTGACTGTCTGCTCGTGTGAGTGTGAGCATGTGTATGAGTGTGAGTGTGACCGTCTCCACTCAGCAGACAGCAGAGGTGTGGCAGGCCTCAGGAGGAAGGCTCAGGACTGTAGTGACAGAAGGTGGGACCCCAGAAGTTCTGGGGATTCCATTAGACGCTCTGTGGCTTCAGGGCCGCCTCCACCACTGCGCAGGCACCTGCTCATGGTACTTTGTCATGAAGACTGTGAGGGCCTCACACCCAGAATCAGGCCCCAGGGAGCCCAGTGGTAACCTGGGATGGCTCCCTGGTGTGGGTGGGGTGCTGCTTCAGGTCTGGAGGCACGGGGGGAGAGGGGACCCCCGAGCTTCCAGTGTCCTCATGATGGTGTCTCTTTCTACTGTCCCCGTGGAGCAAGGTCTACCCAGCAGGAGCGCATCAGGACACAGAGGAGAAAAGCTAGACGCCCCAGCTATGAGGTTCAGTACAGAGCTGCAGGGCGTGGGAGGGTGCTGCTTCAGTCTCCCCTCTGCCTCCTCAGGCTCTCAGGTGCTGGCCAATGGCTCCTCCTTGGAAGTGGAGGAGGGAGAGTCGCTGTGCTTCACATGCATCGTCATGGCCAGCCACCCTCCCGCCACGCTGCTCTGGGCTCGCAATGACCTGGTCTCGGGACCCTCGCAGCCCTCCGGCAACGAGACCCTGTGGCTGGTCTGGGCGCGGGCTGAGGACAGTGGGGAATATGTCTGCCGGGTGCAGAACCCACTGGGCATGCAGGACACCTCCGTGGTCCTTCTGGTGAAGAGTGAGTGCAGAGACACGCCCCTAGCCCTGGGACCAGGACACCCCAGTCCCCATCTGGGGGAAGCCCTTCTGATCCCCATCTGCTCCTCCACACAGGCCCCCTCAAGCTGCTAGGCCCCTCATGCTCCTGGGGGGCCGAGTGGCTACACTGTACCTGCGCCTCCCGTGCCTGGCCACCCCCCACCCTGCAGTGGCGGCTGGGGGATGCGCTGCTGGCGGAGGGCAGCGGCAACACCTCGGTCGCTGTCACCTCCAGCTCGGCCAGGCTATGGGTCAACAGCTCCCTGAGCTTCCGCCAGGGGTTCAGCTCCAGCCTCAGGCTCAGCTGCGAGGCCCAGAACGCATATGGAGCCCAGAGTGCCCCGATCCTGCTGCTACTAGCTCCAAAAGATACAAAAGGCAAGGCATGGGGAAGGGGAGTCTGGAGTGTCTTCTAGAAGACATCTGGAGATGGAGAGGTGGAGCTGACCTAGGGGAAACTGGGGCTGGAGCTATGGGTCCTCTATTTCTAGGCTGGGGATGGGGGGGACTAGAGGGAGAGACTCCTGCCACACAGGAGTCTCACAGGAAGGGAGGAGAACCAAGGATCTAGTCCTGGAGATTGGGGAAGGCTGGAGATCATCCCACATCTCGCTGTCTGCAGGAATGTGGAGAGGAATGGTTCAGGGAGCCATCACGGGAGCTGGAGTCACGGCCCTGCTTGCTGCCGGCCTCTGCCTCATCTTCTTCGTGTGAGTGATGGCTCCGCTGGGCGAAGTGGGGGTGGTGATGGACAGCTCCAAGAGTCTCCACAACTCAAAGCCCAGAGGTGCCGCTACCATGGGGCATGATGAGGAAGCCAGGGTCTGCACGCATGGTCAGAGCAGCCACCTCCTGCTCCCTGCCTCCTGGGCCAAATGCAGGCTCCATTCCCAGCTCGGGTACCAGCATCTAGGAGGATGGCATGACCAACTGACTTCTTGTCCTGGTCTCTGAGCCTCTGTGCTCTGCCCCCCGGCCTCACACCAGCCTGACTGGAGGTCCTGCTCTCCCTCACCCAGAGTGAAGACCTGCAGGAGGAAGTCAGTGAGGAAGACCAGGCTTCGGGACAGTGCCCATCCTGCAGTGAGCTCCTTCTTCCTGGTGAGTGACAGAGGCTCATTTCCATCCAGTTCAACACAATCAACTGAGCTCCTCTTTCTGACTCCCCCTGGGTCCAGATGTCTTGCTGCAGCCACAGGCCTGTGATCCAGCCTCCCTCTGTTCCTCACTTCTTCTCCAAGAGCCAGTGCTTCCCCAAGCCTGTCATCCTCCTTTTGAGCAAAGCTTTTCAGGGCATGGCTTCTCCAAGCCAAGTCCTGGCTTTTCTTACCAGGCCTCTGCTCTGCACTCACTTTCTCCAGAAGGTGCTCTCAGAGAGGAAAGAATTTTCCAAGCAGCTCTTGGTTTATTCCTTCTCTGACTGGCCAGATAGCACTGTCCACTAGAAATCAATTGTTGGCCCCAGGTATAATGTGAACATTTCTAGTAGATACCTTTAAAAATAGATAGAAAAGGGTGTACTTGGACACACTTAACTCCAGTTACTCTGAAGAAGGAGATGGGACAATGGCTAGTAAATATGAGGCTAGCCTGGGCAAAGTTAGCAACATACTGTCCCCAAAACAAACTACAGCTAGCCTCTAGTGGCTCACACCTGTAATCCTAGCTACTCAAGAGACTGAGATCTAAGGATCATAGTTCAAGGCCAGCCTGAGCAGAAAAGTCAGTGTGACTCTTTAGTTAACCATCCAAAAGCTGGAAGTGGAGCTGTGGCTCAAGTGATAGAGCACCAGCCTTGAGCAAAAAGGTTTAAGGACAGTGGCTAGGCCCTGAGTTCAAGCCCCACAACTTTCCTTCCTGGGTTGGCTTCAAACCATAATCTTCAGATCTCAGACTTCTGAGTAGCTAGGATCACAGGCGTGAGCCCATGGATGCCTGGCTTGATTTGCTGTATTTTGTTGTTGTTGGTGGTGGTCGTATGGGCTGAACTCTGGGCCTGGGCGCTGTCCCTCAGCTCTTCAGCTCAAGGCTAGCGCTCTACCACTTGAGCTACAGGCCGCCACTTCTGGCTTTTTCTACTTATGTGGCACTGAGGAATCCAACCCAGGGCCTCATGCATGCAAGGCAAGCACTCTACCACCGAGTCATCTTCCCAGCCCCGATGTGTTGTATTTATTTTGCACGAGGCCCTGCGGCATTTCAAAAACAGGAAAAAAAAAGAAAAAAGAAAAAAGAAAGTACAAAGGAAAGTACAACTATGAATGAGTGAATGAATATTCAGGAAATGTGTACGAAGTGGGAAAGGAAATAAATGCGTGCTCAGGTCCCCAAACCTGACTGATGCTCTTCTCTCCCGGCCCCCCAAACTCTGTCAGGGTCACCTGAAGTCAAGCAGCCCTCCAGAAGGCCCACCGCCTGGCGCAGCCACGCCCCCTGAGACCACACCCCCTAACGAGACCACGCCCCCTAACGAGGCTACGTCCTACAGATTGGCCTCGCCCACCGAGGGGGAGGAGCCTGAGCTCCACTATGCCTCCCTCAGCTTCGGCAGCCTGAAGCCCAGGACAACCCAGGACCAGGACTCCAACAACACCGAGTATGCCGAAGTCAAGATCCGTAAGGGATGACCTCTGCTCCTCCAAGCTCAGCTGGACCCCCAAAGTCATTGCTGACGAAAGTATGTCCTGGGGACAGATTCTTCCAGGCAACAGCTCTCTGAGCCCTGGGTTCGAGTCCAGGCTGAGGTGTTACCTCGGCAACTCGCTCGGCCTCTCTGCGCCTCCACTTCCTCCTTCTCCGAAGGGTGGGGTGCAAGCTGCATCCAGCAAGCTAGGAAGTGTCTGGCTCGTGCTGCTGTGTGCCTTTGGTGACTGTTCTAAGTGCACCTAGTGCTTGGAAACTGATGGTTCGGTGCTGCGTGACTTGTACCTCAATAAAACGGTCATAACTGCAGCCAGACAGGCTGGATTTGGCCACGGGCCTCCCATCTGCCCCCCCCCCCCCCCGTGAGAATTCAGGGGATCACTGGGACACAGTGAACCCCAGCAAACCCCAGCTCTGGTGGGGGGGGGCGGGAGAAGGCTAGTACCAAGCACATTCAGTCTAGGGCCAAATGCCAGGTAGTCTCAGGATTTGCAAATGACCCCCCCCCACACACACACCTCCTGTTCTCCTCCCTGGCCTCATCCAGCACCAGGATCATTTGAGATGCAAAGCAGCCAGGAGAAGGCTCACCTTTTACCTTTGTGGTCAGAGTTTGTTTCCTCCCAGCACCCACCCTGAGTCCTGACCTGCATCCCCCAGACAGAGCCACAGCCTGCTCTTCACACCTCCCCTTGTTGGGATGCCACTCTGGCCTAAGACTCAGCTGGCAGGTTGCATGTCCCTGGGCCCCAGAGACCGCTGTCCTGCTGCCACCAGGTCAAGAAGTCAGGACAGGCAAGGCCTGGGGAAAGTGGCCATACGAGTCTCCAGTGCCCTACAAACACTGGGGTGAGCAGAGGGTTCTGTCCCCTGATGTGCAGTCCCCTTCAGAGAAGGGGCCACTGGCCTCCCAGGCTGTGCTGGGCCTTGGCTCATCCTCCCAGCACCTGGGAGGTCGCAGCCAGACCTTGGGCTCCAGGACCATGGTACCCCCTGCCCAGGTGTCCACCTGGGTCTGTGGATGTCCCTGGCCAATGGACCTTCATGGCTCTACATAAGTTCCCAAATTTCACAGTATTGTGGGATAGTGATGCTTAGTTAAAGTCACAAACACATTCTAACTTTCATGGGGCAAATTGTCTATCATGGTCTATAGTATTTATGTGTTCTATGAGCTTGGCCATACAGTTATTTCTTCCACATAGGGTGATATGTACATTTCTTTTGTTTTGCATAGCATCAGCTGTTCCTTCTTTCCCACTTGTTCCCTCCCTCCCATTACTGCCATTGAGTTGCTTAGTTGATCAATGTCCAGTGCAGCTGATGGGTCCCAGTGTTGTATGTTTTTCCCTGATTCCCTCTAGTTCTGTGTCCTCCTCCTGGTTTCCCTCTGGTGTGCACAAATATAGCATATATGTGATCAGCAGCATGGGGTTATTTGGTAATGATTTGACCAGATGAGTGGAAGTCCTTTGTTTCTTAAGCCTTGTTACTTTTGTCCTATCACCTTAGGTTTTGGATTTAACATCCACTTATCAGGGATGCTACGTGCCATTTGTCTCTTTCCTCTTGGCTTACCTTGCTCAACATGATTTCTTCTAGCTCCATCCATTTTCCTGCAAATGCCATTATTTTGTCCTTTCTAATGGCTGCATAATATACCATTGTGTATAGACACCACAATTTTTGGATCCATTGATCTGTGGTGGGCATCTGGGTTGTTTCCATATCCTGGCTATTGTGAACAGTGCTGCAATAAACATGGAGGCCCATGTGTCCGTTGTTCAGGATAGATGCCTAGAAGTGGTATGACTGGGTCATAAGGGAGCTCAATATTTAGCTTTCTGAGGACCCTCCAGACTGCTTTCCAAAGTAGTTATATAAGTGTACATTCCCACCAACAGTGTAATAGGATTCTTCTTTCTCCACATCCCCTCCAGCATTTGTCGTTGGCTGACTTGAGGATGTGGGCCATTCTGACTGGGGTAAGGTGGTATCTCAGGGTTGTCTTTATTTGCATTTCCTTCACAACCAGGGATGGTGAACATTTCCTCATGTGTTTCTTTGCCATTTTTATCTCTTCTTCCGAGGAGTCTCTCTTTAGTTCCTTGCCCATTAAGTAATTGGTTTGTTAGGTTTGGGAGGGATTAGTTTCTTGAGTTCCTGTATATACAGGATATTAACCCCTTGTCTGATATATTGCTGGTAAGTATTTTTTCCTAGTTAGTTGGTTGTCTTTCTAGCTTGGTTGCTATGACTTTAGCTGTGCAGAACCTTTTTATTTTAAGGTAGTCCCATTTGTCGAGTCTCTCCCATTTGTTGTGACCCTGGGACTCTGTTCAGGAAGTTCCTGCCTGTGCTTATAAGTTCAAGTGTCTGTCCTAGTCTGTCCTGCAGTAGTTTCAGAGATTCAGGTTTGATGTTAAGGTCTTTAATCCATTTTGAGTTGATGTTGGTGCATGGTGATAGGCTGGGGTCCACTTTTAGTTTTCTGTATGTGGCCTCCCAGTTTTCCCAGCACCAGTAGTTGAAAAGGCTGTGTTTCTTCCACTGTATGTGTTTGGCTTCTTTGTTAAATATCAGCTGACTGTAGGAGTGTGGTTTTATTTCTGGATCTTTATTCTATTCCATTGGTCTTTGGGTTTGTTTTTGTGCAGTACCATGCTGTCCTTGTTATTATGGATCCATAGTAGTGTTTGAAATCCATCATTGAGACCCATCCATATTGTCTTTTTTGCCTAGAATTGTTTTGGTTATTCTAGGTCTTTTGTAGTTCCATATGAATTTTTGGACTGTTTTCTGTATCTCAGAAATGTATGTCATTGGGATTTTAATAGGAATTGCATTGAATTTTCAAACTAATTTTGGCAGTATTGCCATTTTCACTTATATTGTCTCCCTATCCAAGAGCATGGAAGGTCTTTCCATTTCCTCGTATCTTTTGTAATTTCTTTCTGTAAGTTTTTGTAGTTTTCATTAGTTCTTTTACATCTTTGGTTAGGTTAATTCCTAAATATTTTATTTGGGGGGGTATTGTAAATGTGGTTGCTTCCTTTATTTCCCTCTCAGCTTGTACATTGTCAGTGTACAAGAAGGTGACTGATTTTATGAGTTGATTTTGTACCCTGCTACTTTGCCAAAGTGATTTATAATTTCTTTTTTTTATTTTTCAGGTAAGGGGTAGGTTTATTCAGTAGACCTGCTGGGACCAGGCAAGTTTGGCACTCCACGTGGCTGGGAAAGGCTGGGAAAGAGCTGGGAAAGAGAGCTGAGAAAGAGAACTGGGAAAGAGCTGGAAAAGAGAGCTGGGAAAGAGAGAGAACTGGGAAAAAGAGAAGATAGAGCTGGGAAAAAGAGAAGGAAAGAGCTGAGAAAGAGCTGAGAAAAGAGCTAGAAAAAAATCAGAGAGAGGGCATCTGGGCCTGGGCTAGGCCTTATCTAGGGTATGGATGGAGAAAGGTGTGGCCACATCAAATTCAGATGTGACCTCAGCAGATACAGATGTGACCTCTTCCAGGTGTCCCAGTTGCCTAGGTAACGCAGGTAGTGGGTGGAGACTTTGCTGCGAGGAGGGTGGAGTCTGCTAGCCATCCAGGAGAGGACCTTACATTCCAGCCTAGTAAAAATCATGAAATAGGGCATGGATTCTCTCTGGCTACTTCCTGCTGACAAGGGGAGTCCACAATAGGTGTAAATGGCTGGAATTTTGAACAGATATGCCCAGTATTTTAGAACCATGTAGTCAGTAGAATACACAACACAAAACAAAAAGGCAAAACTGAAAACCTAAAATTTTGACAACAATGTTTAGACATCTTTGCTAACAAAGCACATCACATGGTTGGGCCTCAGTTACCTGGGCCTGTGAAAAGAACAACTTGTCAGCAAGGCACCTTAGAATAGCTGGATGGAGTAGTAAACTTGGTGGAAGGTTAAGGGCCAGGTAGGGCCAAAACCTTAACCCACCATGTGGCCAAGATGGCAAATTCAAGATGACAAATTTCTGAAAAAAATGCAAAGAAAACCTGAACAGATAGATTAAGTCTTCATTGGCTAGTCTTTGAGAGGGAACCAACAGCCGGAGTCCCGGGACCCAGCCTGAGTCCCACTCTTCAGGGCTTAAGCCAAAATGTAGAAAAGAGAAAGGGAGAGATAGGGAAAGTTGGACATGACTGGCAGAGAGAGAGCAAAGAGAACCTCAAAGTAAACAGACTTCTGGCCATTTACCATTGCAGTTGCAAAACCTGTCTACATCTGAGAATGGCATAAAAATTAAGTGCTTTGGCTTTCCAGGAAGCGCAGGAGGCATTTCAAAGGGGTTTCATGGATTGGGGGTGATTTATAGCACCCCGTTAAATGAGTAGGAGAGTTAGTCCGGTGAGTGAAGGAGAGCTGACCAGGAAGAAGCGGCATCCCGACTTCCCCAAAGCCCTCTAGAGAGAAATGGCCAAGCCCCCAAAAGCCAAGTGTCCTCAGCTTCAGAGGTGACCGGCCTTTCAGCTAAAGGCCGTAGGAACCCTCTGGCGTGGCGCCACATCTGGACAGATACTAAGCAACAGAGAACCGTAGAGAGTAGTTTCACTCACCAGAGTAGAGAATTGGTGTGAATATGGATGTGAAGGCCAGCAATGGTATCGATGTGCTGTGTCTGCAGCAGACAGATGAGTTCGCAAAAGGCCATCAGAACTGTGGGTATACTTCAGAGAAAAAAGGGAAAAACAAACAGAAAAAGAAAAAAGAGGAAAAAACCAGAGAGGAATCCCATCTATCCTGACTTTAAGCCCTTTATCTGAGTCACGGCACCATTTATGTTAGGTTTTTAAAAAGAGAGGTAGCTGAGTTAAGAACTGCACCACCCACGTTATTCAGGTAAGGGGTAGGTTTATTCAGGAGGCATGCTGGGACCAGGCAAGGTTGGCACTTCATGTGGCTGGGAAAGGCCTGGGAAAGAAATGGGAAAGAGAGCTGAGAAAGAGAGAGCTAGCAAAAAGAGAAGGAAAGAGCTGAGAAAGAGCTGAAAAAGAGCTGAGAAAAGAGCTAGAAAAAAGAGTAGAGAGAATGTGATTTAAAATTTATAAGAGTTTCGAGATGGCGTTTTTGGCATCCTGAAGGTATAGTATCATGTCATCTGCAAAAAGGCATGGCTTAACTTCTTTCCCTATGCAAATCTCTTTAATGTCTTTTTCTTGCCTTATTGCCCTGGCTAAGGGTTCCAGGACTATATTGAAGAGGAGTGGAGATGGTGGGCATCCTCACCTAGTTCCTGATTTTAGGATAATTGCTTGTAGTTTTTCCCCATTAAGTATAATATTG